TAAATGAAGTAAGTGGGTTAATAATATAAACTGTGGCAGAACTATGGGATAGGATGTTTCTATAAAATGTGCATGGTTATCTAAAATTATCTATTTGCCTACAGAAATCAGACATGTAATTTCAATAGAGATGGAAATTCCCGAACTTTAGACATTTACATAAATAAAACTGGGCAAGATGTATTATACATTATTGTGTTCTGGGATATGCTTAATAAATAAACAGAACAGTTCATCTGCAGGAAACACCAAGCACAAATGCATGATGGAGATCAGAAGAAAAAGAGCATTCTTGCATGTGATTTGTGAATTCCCACAGATCTGGGAAAGATCTGTACTCCAAGCTACACAGAAAGTGCCAGTGTATAGCACTGCAGAGACTAGCACTGGGTGATGTGGTGCCCAGTTGTTGCTGGAGTCTCAGAGGAATATAGTTCCAACAATGTGGCACCTGCTTTGGGCTAATTAGGCATCATTAGCTTCATATCACTGGGCACCACTGTGCTGCATATACTCATCTCTCTGTTATGTGAGGAGCACTTAGACTTGCTGGATCTCCACGGTGTTGAATCCAATAACTTTTTAGATCATTCATACTGATGGGAGTAACTGAGCTTATGGAAGCAGAAAGATTGCAAGAAAATGCCAACTTCTAGGAGCTGGAAGGTTTTTTAATATTATTGCATTGATATAGTTCTCCCTATCTGTTTCTAATCTCTCTTTCTTTTCCTAGAAGTACTGTAACAGTGGAAATTTACTTCTGAAAGCATTTTGCAGCAAATGCCCTAAAGTACAAAAGATTTTCATTGAAATCATTAGGAAAAAACCCAGCAATGATGTTCAATGGGTTGCGCCAGGACACCTATTCTAAAGATTACCAGGCTTACCATAAGCAAGAATCAGCGTGAACTGCCTACATGAAAATTAAACTTGGTTTTGCTAACACCATGAAAAGCCTACTCTGAGCCCTGAAATCAATTTTGGAATTTCATTTGTCCATCAAAACACCTTTTTTTAATAGCTGTATACAGTCCTACGGTAATTATGGAGTCACATTTGCTTCTTCCCTTCTTTCTTCTCCTCACCCCACTCTATCCAGTAAGGAACAATTTGTACAACTTGAAAATGATTGTTTTTTGAGAATGTTACCAATTTCATCTAAAACTCAGTTGAGTTCCACTGTGGTCAGAAAATTGTATGTCCTCTTTTTTATCCAAATCCTCAAAGGATTAGGGGAAAAAGTCTTTGAAGTGAAACGTAAAAAGAATTTTAATGTTTTATGCAGAATTTGAGAGGGTGAGAAAGAGTAGAGAGAAACAAGTACAATGTGCTTTTTCCAGTTTCTCTGATGACAAATATGTTCAGCCGTACACAAACTGAATTTCCCTCTTCCCTTTGTATCACTCCATTGATTTCAGTGTATGGTGACTTGTATTCTCCTCAGCTTTGAAGATCTCTGCAAATTCAAACACTTCTAACTTACTCTTTCTGTCTGTTTTTGAATGAATAAGTGGATGGTGAAGAATGAAGTGATGCAAGGAACCAAGATTGAGTGTTCAGAAGGGTTTTGGAATTTCGAAATATACTTTGCATGTTACTAATGATTTTATAAGTAATTTTACTGTTTGCTCTGTGCAAATGCAAAACTGCTGAAGAAATTCTTGAAAAAGGAGAAAGTGGTGGTTCTGTGTTTAAAAATAAATAAAATGCATAGATATTGCTACTAAAGGTGTTCCATGATCTGTTGTATAGACAGGGTTAACCATTTATTTAATATTACTGTGTAGGATTAATCTCATGGTACAGGGCCTGTAGGTGTCAAGTTTCTCAATTAGTCTGATAGTCTATGGCCTGCATTTAAATAAATTAGTATTTCTTAAGACTGTCAGCTAAGAATATTTTGTATATTCTTAATTAAAACATTCAGTCTGGTATAGATAACATCCATCAGTTCTCTCCATTTTATTTTGGGAAGCTACTATATTGTGAGCGGCTAGGCAAAGAAAATCCAATGGACAGCAGCACAGATATGAGACATTAACTAGCTTGGTACTCATTCTTTGCCTATGAGTCCATATATTTTTCTATGTTGTAAAGTAATTTTGTGATTTTTTAAAAAAATACCACGTGTATAATGCAACTATGTTATTCTCCACAATGTACATGCTATTCTTCTTGTAAATGGTTGCTTTATACTAGTATTTAATTCCAGAACCCGCTATAAGCTGAGTTCTTATGTGTTTTGTATTGGTGAGCAAAAGACAAATGCCTCAGGTGATCAGAAAGACTGTGTAATGCCAGCTTTCACTGACCTTCCAGACCTGCTGAGCAAAAATGTTGTTGAAGTGGCCAAAATGTGCTTCATCGTACTTTCAATGCTGGCAATGTCTGGAATCGCTGATAGAAGATGTAACTAGAGGGACACTTTTTTGGGGAAGTGTGAGCAAATGGGGTTAGGATGAAGACAGTTCCCAAAAGGATCCTTTTGTCTCATTGTTAATGCTGAAGTAGTTCTCGGACGTGATGCTGGATGTACGCATGTATTGCTCAATACTGTTCCAGCCATGCTCTGACAATTTGCTGATTGTTCAGAGCAGAGTGAGGTTAATGCATGGCGTCAGAATCCTCTCTGTGTTTTAGCCACATTTTCACTGCTTTGCATGTTTATGTCATTATTTTTTTTCCACAAATCAACAAATATCTTTAGTCTCCAGGTACTACCATAGCATTAGTAATATGGACCACTTGAATTCCTACATAGTGTGCACAGTGTAGACGTGCATATGTATCTATATATCAATCTAAAATATAGCCCAGCTGTTGTGTACAAGCAAAAACATTGTGAGGCAGTGAATCCTATTGATAAATCCTGAGTTTTTTATAAAAGTTGGCTTTGTTGTTTTCCATTGTGTGGTGTTTCTGATAACTGACTTGTGCTAAATACTCTCATGCTCAGCCAGTAATGCTACAGTTTTCATTTTAGATTGTTTGTAGTTAAAGAATTTCCAAATTTTGACCTCAATTAGACTGGAAAAAATAGGCCTTTTGTAGTTTCTGTATGAAGAGGTTTTTATTTTATGTTCTGCTAGTTGTTTGGTTTTCTTCTACAATGCTTCATTTTTTGTCATTCCTTGAAGTATTGGCAATGATAAACTCCCTGTCCATGTTAATGGGAGTTGAGAATGCTTTGCTTCTCTCAGGATTGGTGCCATATTACTAGGACAATGTATTGATTTGGTTGACTGCCGATGCGTGAAGCATGACAGAAATGAGAAATTGAACTTTCTGAATGTGAAGTAAATCGTGCTGCTGCTGATATATAAATGATTTAGGAAAAAGCAATCAATCAGATTCTCTACTGGTAGCAGTGCTACATACAATTCAATATATAGTGGAACAACAGATCTTTTACAATCTAAATCTAATAGTGTTGTGTCCTAAACTCAGATTCTTGCAAAAATGACTTGCAGGTTTTTTAGTTTTAATATGCTTTACATTTGATCTGATAATTTAGAAATACTGAGCTGACATTCATTAATTCTGTCTTTTTCTTGTCAAGAGCCACAGATTATTCTTTCTAGACTGCTTATTACTATTTTAAATTGGTTGACCTTTAAATAATTTTAACTTGTAAGTAGCATTGTTTTGAATCCCAAATACCTGCAGATGGAGTTTCTCATAGCCACAGGTAATTGCACTTTAATATCCGTAAAACATCCACTAGAGACGTGAAAAGGCCCATTCTCCCTTCTGGCAGATGTTTTGCAGATATTAGACTTATATCCAATTATCTTTGCGTACTTCAGCAGTACACAATAGCATTCATGTGCAGATGACTATAATATTATTTTTCTCTCCTTCTCCATGCTATGAAATAAATGGGGTAATTTATCCTTCTTGGAAAGAGAGAGAAGTGTTTTAATTAAAGCTTGAAGAGACTTCCTGAAATTCTTCTTATTGTTACCTACTAACAGGTCTTGTCGCTCAGTGTCAAAGTCTCAGCTTAGCATTTCCCCAGCATAAGTACCTTAAGCAGCAGGGAGTTCTGCAGAGTCTCCCCAAAGCAACCCAGAGCTGTGTAATTTGGAATCTTCGATTTGAACTTTTGGGTGAGATTTTTAAATGAATTCAGCTCCCCTCAAGAAGTAGTTGTTGATATTTGCTTAGTATTAAGACTGTGAGAATACAGGGAGAAGCTTAACCACATCGTCATGGTAGGGGGGGAACGCTGCAGCATTTGGCAGTCTTCTGGAACACAAATCCTGGAGTTCTCCTGCATGAACCCTGGTATGATTAGACGGTTCGAGGCCAAACCATATGCAGGCAGTTGGGCAGAAAAATTCTAATAACACATGTTCTAAAAATTAAAATAAAATAAAAAGCCATTTGGGCTATTTAGAAACATATTTTCTCTTACATAAATTATTTTTTTTTTCTTGCTGTAACTTATTTTAGTGTTTATTCTGTCACAAAGAAAAATGAAAGACTGATTTCTTAGTTATGAAGTTTAACAGTTAAATTACCTCAAAATTAAATAAATTACCTTGCAGATTTTCACTGACTTCAGTAGATGGTATTAGAATCTGGAACTTGCTGTTGGAGGGCAGGGTAGATTTGAGAAAGAATATCAGCAAAACAGCAATATTACAAAGTAAGAGTGCACCCTCACAACAAATTATGTAATATTAGTCTTTCTAAACTCTCTAAGGATGTTCTTTTATATTTTTTATAACTTAGACTTACTTTTACATCTGAAGATCAGCCAATTTATTCATTTATCTGTTTTTTTTTCAGATTTTGTTTTATTTTTCTCTCTGACAGCCTAGACTGAGACGTGACAAATATAAAGTGGTGATAGACAAGGGAACTTAAGTAAGTTGTCTGCCTTTTTTCTGAAGACAGGTTAGTGACCAGAAAAATAAAAGATATCATGACAACCTGATGAATTTCAGGTCTGCAGAATCTGCACATATTCCTCATACCATTTAACACTTGGAAAAATGACCAAAGAATTTACTGCACTGATTGAAGGATTTGTGCTTTGCACAAATACTGAAACAAATGTGTTCCCTTCGGATGTCTTACTGAAGTGGGCCTGTCTTGCCACAAGCACAGTCATTAATGACCTCCATCCACGTACCATTGATCTTCCTGGAAAAGTACCTTTTAAGGCAAATGAAGCAGATCTAGCGGTACTTAAGGGTACTACTTAAGAGCAGTAGCAACTTGTCAACAGCGACTGCCACAATGCTAACAGTAATTTCCTTTCCTGTCAAACAACTGCTTGCGCATTGGGAGAAGGCATACCAATAGGTGTAACGATCCTCTGTACACCACAGAAAGGGCAGAGCATGTTCTTTCCATGCAGTATTTGGGAACATGACAACAGCTTTTATTAGCGGATTTAGGTGGTAAGTAACAATTTGCAAAAATAAAGTCCTTTTGCTGGAATACAGCTTTTGCAGGTGTCTACTGGAGAACCAGAGGATGGGGCCAGGCAGGATAAGCCTTTCACATCCACAACCCCGGGAAGAGGAGTCACCAAGCTGTTACATTAACAGTGTCAGACCTAGAACTTGGGGTAAACTTTTACCACAAGAAGTAATGAACATAAAAAAGCTAAATTAAAGATTACAGTATATTGTCAAAGGTTTTCAGGTTGTGTTTCACAGCTCAAGTCTATTAGTTCAGAAACTATGATTATCTCAGTTTATGGCTAAGTACAAATATTCCTCATTTCTTAAAATGTACAATACTTAGAAGTGCCTCGGTATTTCAAGTCATTTTGGAAGGAAAGAAACTTTTAAAGTATTGTGCTCTTCCATTGTGTACCTTTTGCTGTCTTTATACTGTGGAGGAAATAGAACAAGTTTAATTGAAGAAATGAGAGATAAGGAGGGAAGCTGTCATATAATTCATAATTAATCAGCAAAATACATTATTTCCTCATGAGAACAAAATAATTCCGATCTCCTGGGTAAGTCTGTAATTTGACTCTTGGAATAATTTAACTGATACTATAGAACAATTCAAAATCAGTTCTAACAACAGTCTTGGCGGAACTAAGGATGGCTTGCTTAGCTATTGGAAATCACTGTGCTAAAGCTATTCTTATTTCTAAAAACAGCATCTCTTCGTCAACATGCAACAATTTTGTGCTGTAAATTTCATCTGAGACAATTCTATGTGCGGTGCTAAAGGTTTTCCTGTGCAAAGATGCAGTAAACAAAAAGTCAAAATTCAATTGTAAGTTGATCTTCATAAGACAACTTCAAAGCTGATGAGTTTTGATGATTGAAATGCAGATTTAAACATACTTTGTTGTATGACAAAGTGTGTAAGAAGCATCAGTATGATTGTGGAGTCATGGTTGATGCTTGTTTGATTACAGAGGACAGGCCTACTGACAGAGAGCAGTAATCCTGTCTCCTTTTCAGACCTCTCATGTTTTAGACTCTGAACAAGTAACATACAATAAAGGCAAAGTTTATGGTATCTATGACATTCTTTTGATGGCATTGTCCAAACAGAGGAGGGAAGCTAAATATTATGGGAAGTTTTCAGTCCACAGCTATTCCTTTGACGATTCTCCTCTTGGTGAAACAAGAGAGAAAGTATGAGGGGAAACAAATCAGTGACCATTAAAGTAATCTATTTGTTGATGTGAATTTAAACTGTGTTTCTTAAGAAGTTCTGGATATGTCAAAAGCATATCATGTTCCAAATTGTAGAACTTTTTCTCCCTTAACTGTCGAAGCTTGTTTAGAAGATATAAGCCTCTTTCTGGTTGATGTCATCAGCTAGAGCTAGTGAAGTTCTGGGTAACTGGAAAGATTAAGGAAGAACTTATTTCACAAAAATTTAAAAAATCTGTTCTCTCGTGAGTTTTACTGTCAATGTCGGCAACTTTGAAAGCAGAGCAGGTTCCATCTTGAATTCTTGATGTTGACTAGTTGTTCAAAAATCTGTCCTGTATGAATGAGATGGCTCTGATTCCTGAAATTAGTTTTCCATTTTCTGCCCTCAGACTACTTTAGATTTGCTGCTAGCCCCATGAAAAACAGAATGAAAGAGTCACATATACAAAAAACTGGAATTACTATCAATATGCTATAGGAATGTAACTACCCAAATACTTTAAAACTTGCTTTATGTTGGATAGATGTTTATGGTTGTTTCAGTGTTTTGATAGATTATTGCATTCATATCTTCAAACTCCCTTGCCTTCTGATACTGCTGTACATCTGGATTATACTTGGATTATCAAATTAATGATGGTGTGGGAAGAGTTTTATAGTTTCTAGGTTATCACAAAATGCATAATCTGCATTATTTCTTGAAATTAAGTGCTATTTGAGCACTCTAAAAAGGTGTTTAGTAAATAATTGTCCTTTGTCTGTGGGTGAGAACTTAAAATCAAGGTCATATATATATAATTTTATTATGTTGGTTTCCCAAAAAGTCATAGTCATTATTCTATCTCTGAGTTGTTCTTTTTAAATACAATTTTCAACAGCAAAAACCTTTAAAAGGCTACAAATCTTCATGAATATCTGATTTCCTGGGTTTGTACTAGATTGGTGTCTACTTACCAGTTCTGCATACCTACTCTGGAGTATGCAAGTTAGCACAACTGCCATTTGGCGAACCCAGATTCATATTTCATGCATCTGTTTTATGACTGTGTGAACATGTGCTGTCTTCTGTTTTGGGGGTTTTTTTTGTGGGCAGTAGGATTTTTTTGTTTGCTTGGGGTTTTTGGGTGGTTTTTTACCATCCAGAATGATGACTGTTGCATGTGCTACAGTTGCTCCTTACAAGGGCCTCACTGAATGTGGCTGGTTTTTATTGCATTCAAGCCATTTTCAGAAAAGGAACGATGCTGTTTTTACAATTAAAATCTAAATGAGTTTGAACTAGAGTTTGTCCTTTTCATCCATAGTCAGATTATAAACTACACAGCATACAGAGCAAATACCATGAGATAACTGTACACTGAACTTCTGGCTTACCTATACTACTCTCACTGTCCTTTTTCCTATGTTGCTTGTGGTGCACAAGACAGAAAAGCTTCTCTTCCAGGCATCTCTTGGTGACCTGGTCATGTTTCTGTTACTAGTGCTGATGTTTCAGCTCAGGGGGTGAAATTGCAGCAAACCCACACTGTTTTATCCAGCCTTGGGATCAGAAGTTACCTTAAACCAAATGTACAGTTACCATCTAACTATGGGATGTGTGTAGTCTTAGTTTGTTTTTAAAGGTTTGCTTTATTAATACATTGATATAATATACCTTTAAAAAAACAAAGATTAAAATACACCTAAGATTGCCATTTGAAATTATATTTAGAATTACCTGTGTCTGTCTGTATGTTTATATCTTTCATGTTATAATATATTTGAAGTTATTTTCTGATTCAATTCTCTGAACTGTTCTTCATGATGTCAGAAGAGATGTGTATCTTAACTCTTTACTCCTGTTTTTATAGATGGCTATACAACAGATGACATTGAATTTTACTGGCGTGGGGGTGATAATGCAGTCACAGGAGTGACAAAGATCGAACTGCCACAGTTCTCCATTGTAGACTACAAGCTTATCACCAAGAATGTTGTTTTCTCTACAGGTTTGTGGAGGGGAAGCTAAAAGGGGAATTCACTGGAAAAACTTTTAGAAATGGGTTAATTATCAACATGCTGTTCAGGATCTGAGCAAAAATATTAGAAACGGGAATAAATTAGAGCAGCAACTGTGAATTTTGAAAGGAGGAGTTTTTACTAGAGTTTTCATAGTATATCAGACATCACTCATTAGTAAATGAAGAGGATACAGTTGTCTGTCATGTTAAGGCTCAGTCAAATAAGCTGTATTTTCTGTTTTCCTATGAAAACTGATTAAACCACTTATACACCTCAGCAGCCTAAACCCAACAAGAAGTAACCCAGCCTGTAGGAGATTCAGAAACCTTTCTCTCACTATTTCTAGATATTCCTTGTGCCAAGCTGTGGATGTATTAGACTAATTATTTTGTCTTCACTGTAAAACCTTTAAAACCCTTGTTCCACAGGATTTGTAGTTCAGCCTATGCTAGCAAGCATGTGACTTTGTGAAGGCTAAAAGATGCTTTGTGAGGAGGAGCAGAAAATAAGAATGGATTTCATAAAATAAAAAACTAAACAAGAAACAACTAGAATATTTAAATGACATATTAAATCATTCAAGAGAGACAAGGATTGGGCTATTACTATGTGATATTATCTACCTACTTGAGAAAGCTGCTAGATGTGGTTAAGAAAAAAAAAATCTTCAAAACTCACTTTCTAGATATGGGTAGAATATGGGTAGAATATGGGTATACTCCCTTTGGAGGGAGTATAGAAGGATTGTGCATCCCAAATTCTTCAAAACCAAGCAGAAATGGGACTTGAATTGTGATATCTGGGCACCCATTTCAACAAGTGTTTCATACACCATAAAATTTCTGGTGGCCAGTGACAAAGGGCAAGTGTTGCACTGCTTGAAGAGAAGGTTAGAATTAGGGTTACACTGAAGTAGGCATACTGCCGCTTGTCAGGGACGAAGCATTTCTATGCTTTGATGCTCTGAAATGTATTTTGGCAGTTGATTGTTGAATGTTATGATTATGAGCAGATATGCACCTAGAGCATCCTTGTACCCTTAGAATAAAAGATTATTTAATCTCAATTCTTGCTAGAAATTCTGCAGCTGATTATCCTGGATCTTTCAACTCTGTGTGTACTCTGTGTTGTATGAAACAATAAAACCAAAATGACAGAACAATGTTTTCAGGCTTTATGCAAGTAAATTATGGCCATACCAAATATTCTCTTTTAGGTGCCTATCCAAGACTGTCTCTCAGCTTTAAACTTAAGAGAAACATTGGTTACTTCATTCTGCAGACCTACATGCCTTCTATTCTGATCACTATCCTGTCCTGGGTTTCCTTCTGGATTAATTATGATGCTTCAGCTGCAAGAGTTGCTTTAGGTAGGCATTTTTACACATCTCATGCAGTGTGCATTAGCTGAATGCTTTTTCTTGCTTCTGGCTTAGTGGATAATGCATGATTTGAAAAATAAACCTGTTAGATCTTTTTATGTCTGGCTTGTTAAGCTTTGTATTATTTGAATCAACACTTAAATCATCACAATTTAAATAAAAATCAAAGTGATTTCATGTCTGAATTAGATAACTGTATAATCGTTGTAACCAGAATTAGCCTAATTGTCTCAACGTTTTCTGTTGTTTGTTTTACTACTTGTTTTTTCTTCAAAGAGAATGCTTTTAGTTTGTTTTTGCCCATGGCAGTCCAGAATACACATTCAGCATTGTGTTATGAATTATAAAATACTTTTCAGGTAGGAATTAAATTAAGTTTTACTAGGGTTGTATAGCTAACTTTTGCTTAAGTTGAGGCCTTTTTTCCTTACTGTTACCTTACATTCTAAAAGCAAAACCATTTCCCTAATTAATCTCTAGATTACTCTTATATCAGCACTAATCCCATGTGTGTTTGTTTATACTGTGCCCCTCATCAGAGGATCCAAGCATGTTACAAAAATAAATATGAGTATCTATTGCCAAATTTTGTATAAATCAGACCGATTCCTGTCAGTACAGCTGTCATATAGATAAAATAAGTAAATCACCATAAAAGATACAATTGAGAATTTGACATTTTAACTTAATAGAGTAGTGTCTGAGTTTTACCAGGCCTTTCTATGTAGCATTTTCCAATAAGAATTCAAGATTGCAGACATCCTGAAAGTGCTGGAGGAAAGCAAGATAACAGTGACTCTAGGCTGGTAATTTATAACTGAGACTTACTAGAGAAGGTTACAGTTTAGCTGGTTAAAACCATACTCATAGAATCCAACTACTGTTTGTTTGAACACAGTTATTTACATGTGTAATTTTCTTTGCTGTACAAAAAATTGAAGACAAAAATAAGGAATATAGACAGAGGTTGGGGGTGAGTTTTTTACACCAGGAAAAAAATCTAGATTTTTTCAGCTTTAATATTATGAGCTATTACGCTAGAAAATTAAAATGAGTTCAGTCAATAGATTTGTCAACTCTTTTTTCCAGGAATCACAACTGTACTCACAATGACAACAATTAACACCCATCTTCGAGAGACTCTTCCCAAAATTCCATATGTGAAAGCCATTGATATGTACCTTATGGGATGTTTTGTCTTCGTTTTCATGGCTCTGCTGGAGTACGCATTGGTCAACTACATCTTCTTTGGCAGGGGACCTCAGCGTCAAAAGAAAGCGGCAGAAAAAGCTGCCAGTGCCAACAATGAGAAGTTGCGAATGGATGTCAATAAGGTAAATTGAAACAGGAGTATATTTTTAGCATTACCCCAGGAAGGCAGTCTTTCACTTCTGCCAGATAGAGCTTTAAAATGTAATATCTTGTAGAAAATGAGTGGAGTGGGATTATTATGATCTTGTCTTAGCTCTGCAGAATGGTGTACTTAGCCACCTCAGTAAAGAATGCTGCCTTCTAGCCTGGAAAAACTGAATAACTTTTTTCTAAAGCATGCACTCAGTTAAGCTTTACTTTGAGATGTTTTCTCATTCAGGATGTAGAATTAAAGATGTCTAGTCTGTTTCCAAAGGAAAAAATCCAAAATGATGGCTATAGCTGATATTCTAGCAAGAGCTGTATGAAACATTGGAAATAAAACCTAAGTTTAACCTACTTTCATAAATCTTTCAGATGACCTGTATAAGAAATACTTGCTACAAAAGTGGTTCGAACTGAAAAGGTTTGCATATTTTCAACATACAATGGTCTAAGATACTGTTGACTAAATGAGAAACTGCTCAGCAATAAAACATCAACTTGCTGTGTCCTTAATTTTGAATCTAAAAATGGTCCCCTGGGAATGGAGAATTGAGGCAGAAAATACATTTGCCAAGATACACACTTTTGGAAAAATCATCTATTATGCTTGATGAAAATGAAGCACTTACCACAAAGCACTTGTCATTTTTCACTTTGACCATTTCGGATGAGTCTCACACAGTGGCAAATCTGGACTAAATGGTAAAATATACTCAGTATGAAATGTATGAATTTTCACATACATGCACAATTGGAAAGCTAAATAAAGTTAAATTACATTTTGGTTTTTTTTCTTCTTTTTTTTTGGACTGGGAAGATTTTTGAATCCAGCATGATACTCCAAGGGAAAAAAAAAATAATCAGAATTTAAAAGAAAAAATCTAAATTGGAAACAAAACGAGTGTTTATTTGTGAAGTGAAAACATAAGTTTCATACAGCTCTAGTGACTGAATTTTTCATGTTTCTTCAGAACTTCTACACCACCATAGTGTGCCTGCAGATAGAACATTTTGTTCCATGTTTGCTGAAACAACAAAGATCCATCACGTGTTGATAGCATAAAACAGTTAGTTTTACGGGCTATACCGTATAGTCGTTTAAAATGGAGTATTATATTGTCATGACTCAGATCTCACCCATTCATTAATTTATTTTTTTCTTTTTAATTTGAGAGAAACATATTTTAATGAATGAAGACAAATGCATAATGATGAGATTAATTTTGATTTTATGGTACCATAGATCATCTTTTACCATTGTAAAGTTCATGAAGACACTGTAAAGTCTTTTTCTTTCTATTGGTGATTTTTTAGCAATGTAAAAAAAGCTACGAGCTTTTATTTAATCTGTCAAGTTTATTTTTTAAAAATCAGTTTCCCTTTAAACCATCAAAGCTATTAAATAAGAAACCCTGTAGGTAATTTTATGAGACTAGATCTGCGTTTACCTGAAGTTTTTCTTCTAACAGCAGTGGAAATTTAAGGTCCATAGGCATCAGAATGTCACCACTAGCTGAGGTATATTTGTATGCTATTTCACTTGCGATATTTTCTGTATACTTATTCATACAATAGATCTTTCAGCCATGTAACAGAATAACCAAACTCTAGTGTTAAATTGCTAATCATGACCTAGAATTTGAAGGCACGAACTAGTGTACTAATCCAATCCAGTAAGCAGAGTAAATTAATTCCTATAACTATTGCAGAAATTCACCAGCCTACAAGATTAACACAAAGTATATTGGGAACAACTTTACATTATTTAGATTTTTTTTTTTGTACTCAGCCTTTTGCTTAATATACCAGGCCAGCATGGTTCATAGTCTATGGCAGTTCTGCGCTGGTATCCTGATACACTCTGATCTGATAATCAGGTTAGCAATCCCTTAAGCAATAGATAGAGAATCAAACAGGAGAGGATCAGAAGAGAGTACTGATGAGAGAACCCTGTCCTACTGCACACTGCTCTGGGGAGGAGGAAAGGAGCTGACAGCTGTTCTTGCTCTTTGACCAGCAGCGAGAAAACAGATTTATATTTAATGGACCTGAATATTTTATCTATGAAAGGGGACCAGATATTATATAATTGTTTTCATGTACAAGAATCAGAAATGGACCTGAACTGCCAAATTTGGTTCAGATGCAGGTTTCTGTAAAAACCCAAGTATTTTAGCAATGGGACCAAATGATCACTCCATCTCTAATTAGGATCCAACATTGAAGGACTAATTTTATGAAGCATGAGTGTTCTTTTGTGATATTACTAAACTCCTCTTGCATCACTACATGGAATATTATGAATTTATCAGAATCAGATACTATGTGAGAAAAGATTAATGCCATGAGTAATAAACCTCAAAACAGGAGGAGGAAAACTTCTATACAACTCTTATTTTATTCAGCATAAACTTTGTAAAAAAGGTGGATAAATAGTTATCGGAATTGCTGCTTGTAGTGCAGCATCTTTGTTTATACATTATAGACCAGCAAATCTGTAATAGATTTCTTCAGATTCCAACACCATTTTTTTGTAACAGTCTCTTACAAGTTTTCAAACAACAAAAGGTGGTCAGAGGAGAGGTGCTGATTAGTCCTTCCATCCACAACTACCTGCAAAATCAAAGTAGAAGTTAATACATACTCCCTTTATGCTGTTGAGTTCCCTGGTACGGAGAGATTCCAGGGCAGGCACAGACATTGCTAGTCTCTCTATTTTTGCTCGGTGTTATTCAGAACATACTAGAGAGCCTTCAGAACAGTATGGAAGCACAACAGAAGCTGTTCTTCCGTGACTGTGGTATCTGCTGAATCCAATGTAGTTCCTTGGAGATTTGGTGACTCAGGAGGACAATGTCCTGTTTTTTTCCTTTTGAGTGAATACCATCGGATTGGCTGCAGAGCTTCCACTGGGCTATTCCAGATGAAACTGGGAAAATCTTTCTTTAAATTTCATATTGTATTCATGTCCTATGCCCAATATGGAGGTTTTGGTTTGGTTTTTTTAGAATCATAGAATAGTTTGGATTGGAAGGGCTTTTAAAGGTCATCTAACCCAACCATCCTGCAATGAGCAGGGACATGTTCAACTCAATCAGGATGCTCAGAGCCCTGTCCAATGTGACCTTGAATGTTTCCAGGGATGGGGCATCCACCACCTCACTGGGCAACATGTTCTGGTGTTTCACCACTCTCATTGTTATGCTGGTTTTGGCTGGGATACAGTTAATTTTCTTCATAGTACCTAGTATGGGGCTATGTTCTGGATTTGTGCTGAAAACAGTGTTGATAACACAGGGATCTTTTAGTTACTGCTGAGCAGGGCTTACACAGAGTCAAGGCCTTTTCTGCTCCTCACCCCACCTCACTAGGCGAGGAGGCTGGGGGGGCACAAGGAGTGGAGAGGGGACAGGGCTGGGACAGCTGACCCCAACTGACCCAAGGGATACCCCATACCACGAGGTGTCATGCTCAGCATATAAAGTTGGAGGAAGAAGAAGGAAGGGGGGAATATTGGAACTTCACAGTGTTTGTGTTACCAAGTAACCACTACATGTGATGAAACCCTGCTTTCCCAGAGATGGCTGAACACCTGCCTGCCCATGGGAAGTGAGGAATGAATTCCTTGTTTTGCTTTGCTTGTGTGTGTGGCTTTTGCTTTACCTATTAAACTGTCCTTGTCTCAACCCACACATTTTCTCACCTTTACACTTCCGATTCTCTTCCCCATCTCACTGTGGGGGAGTGTGCTGTGTGGGGCTTAGTTGCCAGTTGGGATTAAAACATGACAATCAAAAAGATTTCTTCCTTATGTCTAGTCTTAATCATGACAGAGATTATAACTTCATATACTCCCTCATTTTCAAAGATTGTTGGCTCTGTTTGGGGTAAGGGAGAGAAAGAATTGTGCCTGTATCTTGATTTGCTTCTTGAATTCTGAAACTTAGGTAATAAGATCTTGGAGAAATTTAAAGGACATAAAACTCAAGGAAAATTCAGACTCAATTACCAGCAGATGCGTTATCACAGACTTGTTAATTCTTATTGGACGTGCGTAATTTTTTTTGCAGTGACTTCAGGTTAAAATAGCTGTATGTATGATCATTCCACTCTTGAAGTTTCTCAAGCCGCATCCAGCAGTTAATTCCTTTAGTCGTCTTTTGCCTTTGTCAAGGCTAATTATTCTCTCTGTAAATAGTTGTATTGTTGCTTACAGGTAAATCACTGGCTTTCTTCTTACTCTAGACATCCTTCATTTATTGGAGATAGCATTCACATCGTTTCCTCACCTCTCTGTTTAAGCCTATTGTCTTATCTTACATTACTTCTTCAAGTGCCTTTTTTATCTTCATAGTCTCAAGTACTTGAATCTGTTCTGAATGGCACAGTACTGCAAGTGTATATATAAGGATAGGTAAACTGGGAGTGTTGTATTTCTGCTTGAAGACCTAACGTGTCATAAATTATGGTATATATACTCTAACTCATTGTTATGCAATTTTATTCTGTGGACTTTTCTATTTTAAATAGGAGCGTTGATGGCCATCGGCATCCTTTTGATCCTTTGTAGGCACATTTCATGCTATCATTTCTTTAGGCTCAGGGCACTAATCTAATACATTGTCTGTGCTTCTTCCAGGTGGTTAACAGATATGTTAAAAAATAGGGTCAAATTCTAACCTCTGGCTTCACAGTATCATTCAGCTGACTGTCTTCCTATGGGTAATTGTACATATGTCTGGGACATATTATCTCTTCATTTTTAAAATATTGTGTCAAAGGCTTTACTGAAATCCATAACTTTCGTCTGTTAATTCTGTAATTACATAAAAATGGTCTGGAAGAATTTGACCTAGGAACCTCTATGAGTTTTTTTTTCTTCTAATTGTAGTTTTGGTTTCTGTTTCCTTTTGGGATAGGAGGAGATGGGGGAAGGGAAACAAGCTCCTGTGATATAACCCTTCAAGTTTTCTCCTTT